AGCCGGAATTACAGGCATGCGCTACCACGCCCAGCTGATTTTTTGATTTATTGTAGAGATGAGGTCTCGCTGCCTAGGCGTGTCTCGAACCCGTGGGCTCAGGCAATCCATTCACCTCAGCCTCCCAAAGGCGCAGGATTACAGGCTGAGCCACCAAGCCCGGCCTATCCTGCTTCTTTTTAAAGTTTATTATAGCATAAGCATTTTCAATTAAACTGATTTTTCAAAGTTGCCCAGTGTTGCCTCTTATGACTGTGCCATTGTTTCCTTAACCATTCCCCTAGTGTATGTCCCATTTTCAGCCTCTAGTTTTCCTAGAAGTCCTGTGAAGCATGATATCTAGGGATTTGCGCACATCAGTTGGGTTGTTCATTCATTCCGGGTGCACATGAAGACCTGTCTAAGTAAGCTGATCTGTCTGTGTCTAGCCCTGTGATTGCTGCACAATTTTCAGACAATCTGATTCGACCATTCCTCATCCACATCATGTCTGTGCCTGCTCTTGTGACTCATCTCAGCACAGTGACCCCTGAGGTAAGCGGGCTCTATAGGTTCCCCCCCCCACTGAAAACTATTCGTTTTTGCTTTTCTTATAAATTAGAAAGTAAAATGATCTCGTTCTAATTCCCACCTGTCCCACTGATTTTTTTTCTTCTAAATCGGTAGACACACTTGTGTTAGTAGCCCAAAGAAGCAGGTTCTCGTCTTTGTTCCTTTTCTTCTTGGTGACTGGTAGCACATTCCACATAACTAGGGGGTGATCTGCAGATGATCAAGTTTATGCTCTAGCGGGAAATTCTTCCCATCAGTCTCCAACTTAATGGTCTGCAATTGTTTGCAGCGCCTTGCTGTTTTAGAATCTCATGACATGCTTCGTAAGTTCATCATATTTTTAAGAGATGAAGATCGATGCCGTGATATATGTGAAAGTTTAGAAGGATGCCACACTCTTTGTCTAATGGGTGAGTATCTGGAGTTTGGAGTTTGATTGTGTCCTGGCCATCAGGGAAAGCCTGAGTGTTTTGCTTTTCACCCTTCTAGAGATGAGTTGTTTTTAGTAGCAGTTGGAAGTGCTTACAATAAAAAAAAATATGTAGATAGACAGTTAAGATAGACACATAAATTAAAAGTTACATGGAATATATATCAGCGGGCCCAGCTTGTTAAGTGACTAGAAATTAACATTAGATTTTAGGAAAATGAAACTGTGGTATTTGCCTGGATAATTCTCATCTCAAGGGAGAAGGGAGAGAGTAGATAGGTGGGGCTTAGATCAAGGTAGTGCCTGCTTCACCTGTTCTGTAGTGTTTTTGTTGTAGATGAAGGAAGGATTTATGTATAGAAGCATTTGAAAACAGCAGAGGCACATAATTCTCATTGCCTAATAGGAAGAAATTCATTTTAGGTAGAAAAAGGTTTTGGGGCCAAATTTAGAAGGAGGTTATTGTAAGAGTCTTTACACAAGAGATATTAAATAATATCAGTGAATATTGAGTGGTAGGCCCTAGCTACACCTCCCGGTGGAAAGCCCGTAATGAGCTAAGTGGGCTGCCCGGCCCAGTCCTGCACTTTCCAGGACATTCAGATGTTCTTCAAAAGGTCATTTCTCATGTTGACTTTTGAGTTTTAAATACTAAAGTAGTATTAAAATACAATACTAACTAAATATCACGTACCTCTGTATGCCTGCCATTTTATTTTACTTCATATCATCCTCATGTGAAGAGCAGAGATCCTTAGTCCAGTTTTATAGATGAAGAAACAAATTTCGGAGGTGTGTTAAGGGCTGCTATGCAGCTTATCTGTGGCAGAGCCGGGATTTGAAGTCAGGTCAGCCTGTTTCTTACCCTTGCACCACACGACAGCCTCCGGCACTGTCGTCCTCACATGGAATTTCTTCTGCACAAATGATGCAGCTACCTGAGCCCCAGGTGGGAAGGAGGGCTGGGAAGTGCCGAAGCATGTTGTCTGTGCCCATGCCCGTCACACTTGGCCTTCTGTCTTGCAGGCAACCTTCTACACTTGGGGTCTCTCAACCCCAGGGTGTTAGAGGAGGAGACGGATGGGTTTGTGAGTTTGCTCACCCAGATGCTGTGCTACTGTCAGAAGTACGTGTCCCAGAAGAAATCCAACCTAACCCACTGGCACCCTGTCCTTGGCTGGTTCTCACAGTCTGTGGATTACGGGTGAGTCCCAGACACAAATCACTCTCTTTCCTGCCTTTCTCCTCACCACCTCCTTCTCCTTTCTTTCTTCCAGCTTCTGTTTTGTTTCTTATTACAAAAGCAATATGTATTCAGTGTGTAAGATATAGATAAGACCAAAAATCATTCCATAATCCTACTACCCAAAGATAATCTGAGTGAACATCTTTTCGGTGTTCTTCTGTCTAGAAATATTGATGGCTTTTTTCAAAATTGAAATTGTATTATTTTGTATTTTGTTTTCTTTAAAATATGAACCTTACCTATTGACATTTTTTTCCTTCTTCATTATCACTTTTATTGACACTAGGGTGCCGTATTTTGGAGATGCTAAAACAAGTCAGATAGTTCAAAGGGAATAGAAATCACCCCAGATCTTTTTGAAGCGGTGGGATATAAATTATAAAAATTTTAGGCCTGGTATAGTAGCTCACACCTGTAATCTCACACTTTGAGGCTGAGTCAAGAGGTTTTCTTGAAGCCAGGAGTTTAAGACTGGTCTGGGCAGCATAGCTAGACCTCGTCTCCATAAAAAAAAGAGAGAATGAATTGCTGAGCATGATGGTGTGCACCTGTGATCCCAGTTGCTTGGGAGACTGAGGTGAGATCGCTTGAGCCCAGGAAGTTGAGGCTGCATGATCGCACCACTGCACTCTAGCCTGGGTGACAGAGTGAGAGCCTGTCTGTTAAAAAAGAAAAAACTAATAACTCAAAAATATTAGGAGTACTATACTAGAAGAAGAGAGATCAAGTAAGGCAGCGTCACAAATTTGAAACGTGCACCCTAGACGGAGATGAAGTGGTCTCTGGAGCTGAAGCAGCTGTGGTGCCCAGCTGTTTTCTTGTTCAGATATCTGCCTGAGGCATGGAGTGCCTAGCAGGTGCCCTTGCAGCAGAAAACTGGAGGCCAGGGAAGGAAATCCCTGGATTGACTCCCTTCTCCTTTGTACTTGAATGACATCCTTGGGTCCTATCCAGTTGAAAGGACTCATTGCCAGAAGATGACCTGCGCCTGTATGCCACCTCAGCTTGAGGAGGATAGAGTGTAGGTGTTGGGAGTCAGGAGGGATGTTCTGGGTGGCAGGGTGGAGCAGAATAGCACTGCAGTAGACAGCCCGTCCCTGGCTTCACTGCCTTGTCTTTGAGGGACTTTGTACAACTCACTTCTCTTGCTTTCCTAATCTGAAATCTGGGGGTGATTTTCATGTTGCTCTGATAGCATCATCTTGAAAGATTGAGTGAGCGAATGCAGGTAAAGGGCCTACCATAGGTCTGGTCCATGCCCAGTGGGTGGTGACTTACCAGTATGGTGACCATTGTGGTAGCCAGTACAGGGTCTTGAGCAGGGAGGTGGAAGTGGACTCCAGGAATGTGAGGCATGCAGGGGTTAGCATAGAGTGGGAAAAATGGAACCTCTGTAGGCAAGGAAGCACTGAGGAGGCTGTGGAATTGTCTAGATGTGGGGCCACCCCTGCAGGCCACTGTGGGAGGAAGGCAGCATCGCAGGAATGAGTTGGCCTTGGTCAACTGGGTGCTCGAGGAAGTCTCTGAGCCTGGGGACCTAGGAAAGCAGTATCCCTGCTGGCAGACAGGATACAGCTGATGTCCCTCAGGGATAGTTTTTTGGTTCCATTTTTTGTTTTTCTGTCTTCTTTGCCATGTTGAGTGGTAGGCCCTAACTACACCTCCCGGTGGAAAGCCCGTAATGAGCTAAGTGGGCTGCCCGGCCCGCATCAGGTAGGACTGACATGCCTGCTCTCCTCTGTTCTCTCTTAGCCTTAATGAGTCAATGCACTTGATCACCAAACAGCTGCAGTTCCTGTGGGGGGTTCCTCTGATCCGGATCTTCTTCAGTGACATCCTGAGCAAGAAGCTGCTAGAGAACCAGGAGCCAGCCCGCGCGCAGTCTGCATCTCCACAGAATGTCCTTCCAATGAAGAGTGAGTGGCCAGAGCAGGCCTGAGCCTCACTCCACGTGGCTGAAGAACAGCCCCCGACTCTGTCTGTGGGCTGCTCTGACTTCTTCCACAAAGGTTTTGAGGCTACTTAAATCAAGTCCTCTTTTAGCAAAACTGTGACAAAATCCACAGGAATTGAAAACTTACAAAAATATGTCTATAGCTAGCAGTGAGCATGGGCCCAGCCAATGTAACTTCAGCAGGATATGAATGGGAAGGTTTAAAATATAAGTAGAATAGCATGCAAAACTGGGTATCAGAACTTAAGATTGTCATGCGTTACTGCCCTCTAAAAGAGGCATCCCCAACCTCTCAGCCATGCATCAGTGCTGGGCCCACACAGCAGGAGGTGAATGGTGGACACACGAGCAAAGCTTCATCTGTATTTACAGCTACTCCCCATCACTCGCATTACCACCTGAGCTCTGTCTCCTGTCAGATCAGTGACAGCATTAGATTCTCATAGGAGCATGATCCCTATTGTGAGCCACACATGCCAGGGATCTAGGTTGCCCGCTCTTTATGAGAATCTAATGCCTGATGATCTGAGGTGGAGCTGAGGCATTAATGCTAGCATTGGGGAGCAGCTGCAAATACAGGTTAACATGAGCAGTGAGGTTTGATTGCATACCCCATACCGCCCCCCTCAAGCCATAGAAAAATTGTTTTCCCTGAAACTGGTTCCTTATGCCAAGAAGGTTGGGAACTGCTGCTGTAAGAGCACAGAAAACTGAGATTCAGTCAGGCCCCTGCCTTTGCTCCTTTTCCCCTAGTATAGTCCTTTGAGTTTTTACCTTGTGGGTTCTGAAATTAGGTGATCCAGTATAAGAATCTCATGTTAAGATTTGAATATGCTTGGCTTATTCAAAGAAATTTTCAGATATTCCGAAGAGGTCTAAAAACCTATTGTTAATGTCTTTCTAAGTTATCCCAAAGAAGTTCTTGGAGCCGGATGTGGCTACTCATGATTGTAGTCCCAGCTACTTAGGAGGCTGAGGCAAGAGGATCCCTTGAGGTCAGGAGTTCAAGACTAGCCTGAACAATATAGTGAGACGCTGCCTAAAAAAATTTTTTTGTAATTAGCCTGGTGTGGCTCATACCTATAGTCCCATACTCTAGGGGCTGAAGCAGGCAGATCACTTGAGCTTGGGAGTTCAAGGCTGCAGTGAGCTATGATCGCACCACTGCATTCCAGATTGGGTGACAGACTGAGCCTCCATCTCTAAAAACAGAAATAAAATTCAATTTCAAGAAGGAAAGACCAGGCTCGGTGGCTCAGCCTGTAATCCCAGTGCTTTGGGAGGCCGAGGTGAGTGCATTACCTGAGCCTGTGGGTTCGAGACCCGCCTGGGCAACTTGGTGAGACCTCATCTCTACAATAAATCAAAAACTAACCGGGCGTGGTAGCGCATGCCTGTAGTTCCAGCTACTTGGAAGGCTGAGGCGGAAGGATCTCCAGAGCCTAACAAGTCGAGGCTGCAGTGGCTAGTAGTGGCCACTGCACTCCAGTCTGGGTGACAGAGTGAGACTCCAACTCAAAAAAAAAAAAATCAAAACAGAAATGTCTTGAATCATAGCAGCACCTCACTGTCTGGCTGTGGCTGTAATTTGGCACTGCTGAAATCTTCTTCTCCCCCAGGGTAGAAGCTGGCAGATGGTTGACCTTCTGCTTGCCTTTCTTCTTTTCTCCTTGCCAGGTCTCCTAAAGCGTGCATTTCAAAAGTCTGCATCAGTCCGGAATATTCTTAGGCCTGTTGGGGGTAAACGTGTTGATTCTGTGGAAGTCCAGAAGGTTTGCAACATCTGTGTCCTCTACCAGACATCACTGACAACTCTAACTCAGATCCGGCTACAGATCCTCACAGGTTTGCAGTCCCAAGGCATCTTCTTCCATTTTTCAAATGTGGCAGACAATTTGGAGCATCTGTGGGCCTTACTGGGAGAAATGACACCAGGTTTTTGGCCCAAGCACCTGTGCAATACCACTTTCTGATCTGGGCAAGACCAGCGGGGGCAGGGCTTGTTGGGACTCTCTTGTGTTGTGGCTGTGTGAATGCAGGTTGCCTACTGGGCATGCAGAGCTGTCCAGCAGGCCTGTGCGGACACTGGGCACATACGCAGGGGGTAGAAGCTTTCCAGGGCCTAGAGCAGCTTTCCTAAAGATAAGCAGAGAGAGGAGAGAAGGGGCAAGCTGCACCCGGGCACCCAGAACCTGAGGGTTTGAGGAGCATGTTGGGTAAGAAGATTTTGATCAGCCTGTGCCCTGCCTTTTAAATGAGCCCACATTGAAACTCATTTTCCCAAGTGAGAGAATCCAAAAATAAGAATTTTGGTCAACTTGAAAATACACACCTTAACGATGAAGAGAAACTAGTCTAAAGTGTATGTATGATATTCAGTCCATTCAACTATATGTATCTTGAATCAGATGATAGAAAATAAAATATTTGTTAAAATCCTGCTATTTTTCTACTCTCACAGTTTACCAAGTGTCTTTGTTTGTGCTCCTCCTGTACATCTGACAGCACTGGAGCCACTGTTGGTTCCTCTGACACAGCTCTGCCAGGCACAGCATCTTCATTGCTGTTTGCGTTGCTTGGGCTACAGCCCTTCTTGAGCTGTGCTATAAGTGTTTTTGTCTACACTATGGGTCTCATTCATTAAATGCAAAGACAGTTGCTTTTCTTCTTTTGTCCTATAGGAGTATATTTGTGATCACAGTGTAACTACCTCCTCTATTTCTTTTTGTAACCTGTTTTCAAATTGTGAGATTTCTGCAATCTTTAGTGTGTATAATGTAGCATGCACAGTTTAAAGGCTAGTTATGAGCTGAGCACCTGTATAACCACCAAGCAGGCCAGGAAAGTCTTGCTTTCTATTTTTTATTGTATTTTTTATTTTAGAGTCGCGGAGTATGTGTAAATTCGTTACATAAGTAAATTATGTGAAGGTGAGGTTTGGGCTTCTAGTGAGCCCTCTCTCCCCCAGAAGTGGACATGGCACCTGATGGTTGTTGTGTCCCTCCTTCCTCCCCCATTCGTAGTGCCCAGCTTCAGTTGTTCCTGTGCTTAGGCCCACATGCCCGATGTTTAGTGCCCACTTATGAGAGAGAACATGCAATACTCAATTTTTTGTTTCTATGATAGTTCACTTAGAATGATGATCTCCAGCTGAATCTGTAGTGCTGCAAAAGACATGGTTTTATATTTTAAGACTGTGTAGTATTTTCTCGTATATATGTACCACATTTTCTTTATCTGGTCCACTTTCGATGGGCCTCTGGATTGGTTCCATGTTTTTGCTGTTATGGATAGTGCTATAATGAACATGCATGTACAGGTGTCTTTTTGGTAGAGCCATTTGTGTTCCTCTGGGTATATTCCCAGGAGTGGGATTACTGGGTCAAATGGTAGCTCAATTTTTAGTTCTTTGAGAAACCACCACATTGCTTTCTACAGAGGTTGAACTAGCTTACATTCCCACCAACGGTAGAGAAGTGTTCCCTTTTCTCTGCAGTCTTCCCAACACCTATTGTTTTTGACTCCTTAATGTTAGTCATCTTGACCCATGTGAGGTGGTATCTTGTTGCAATTTTGCTTTGTATTTCCCTGATTTGTGAAGCTAAGCATTTTTTCCCGTGTATTAGCTGCTGTATGTCTTCCTTTGAGAAGTGTCTGTTCATGTCTGTTGCCCACTTTTTAAGGGGTTATTTGTTTTATTCCTGTCAATTCGTTTGAGGTCCTTATAGGTCCTAGATGTTAGATCTTTGTTGGATGCATAGTTATAAATATTTTTTTCCCATTCTGTGGATTGTCTCTTTACTCTCTTCATAAAGTCTTGGTAATGAATTCATTGCCTAGTCTTGTTTTTCAAAGACTTTTTTATAACCACATCATCCTTCCCTTGAAAGAATGAGGTCACACCTTTAGGAATGATCACTGCATTGAGGTTACATTTCTTTGCCTCCTTTAGATTCCTTTCTATTCACCCTCTAAGCGTTCTTAAGTACCACTGATTGAGTTCCCCTCACCTCCACCTCTACGCAACATATCTTCCCCAAACAGTTCTTTGTTCAAAATTCAGTAACCTAGAGAGTACCCTCAATGAGAGGTGGTATAGGGGCTCAACTATCAGGAGACTCTGCTTAAGCACACCTTACCATATAGTCAGTGACACATGGAATTTCAGATCCAGACTTCTAAATAGTAACTGCTTTATTCGACTTAAAATATACCCGTGATGCAGCCTGTGTGTCTGAGGCCGTGAAGCCTCAGGAAGCAGATTTGGAATGTTCTTTGTTTCACCATTTGCTTCCCCAGAGTTCTGTTTTTGTGTAATATTCAGGGTATCTCTGTTATGGCCATTCATAGCTTTCCCGTTTTTAACACAGGTAGAATAATGGAAGTGGGCAAGAGGACAGCTTGGCTTGATGTGGAGAGCCTGCAAGATGATTGAAGGCAGGGTTAATCAGTGACGCGCGTGGCGAGGTCTAGCCCACTGCTCGTTGTTGCAAATAAACTTCTATTGGAATACAGCCAAATCCATTCATTTGTGTACTTTTCATAGCAGTTTTGTGCCACAGTAGCAGCAGCTAGTAGTTGTGGCAGTGTTACCTTAGACTAAATTTGGCCTGGGGGTGCTTCTGTACTTTATGATACCTGTGGGAGGAGCTGCAGCCTAACTCAGTATGTAAACTCACTGAAAGCCTAACTTAGGAACACTCTGTATTTTTGTAACAAATAGCTGAGTCTCAGCCAATCACAGCAGCTGAGCTTCAGTTAGTCACAGGTGGTCTTCTGATCAGACCAGGCTTAAAAAAGGCACTTTCTGAACTGTATCCAATTGAACTGTCTCTGGACCTCACTTTTGTTTTTGCCCATAAATGGTGCCTGTCCAGAATGCAGACTGAAGCTCTCAACCTCTTCTGGTCTGAGGGCTGCCCAATTGTTTTTTGTGAAAAAACAATTGTGAATTGTTTTTTCTCAATTAAATTCTGTACCTTATTTTAACAGCAGAGACCTTCTAAATCCACAGTGCCTAAACCTATTTACTTTTTGGCTCTTTCCAGAAAACATTTGCTGATCCCTGATTTAAAACATAAATACTAAGTCAGACAAACCTGGCAGCATTTTGACACTTAAGGGCTGTGTGATTTGGTGCCAATTATTTAATCTCTCTGTGTAGCGGGAAAAATAGAGAGGCGTGACATCGAGACTGTTATAGAAAGTGGCAACTTTATTACTCAGGTGGGCTCCCGGTCGAGATCCCCAGATGGGGAGAAACAGGGTCTTATACCTTCGTTTAGGTAAGGGAGGGGGTCCTGTTGAGCGATTACACATCTTCTTTGGAATTTACAATGTTGAGTTCAGAAAAATCAGATTTTTCAAAGAACAAAAGATCTGAGCAGGGGCTATAACTGATAAGGAGAGCAGTTGTGAATTAGGTACTCTTTCTTTTGCATTTCCATGAGAGCTGGTCAGTCTCTGACCATTTGGCTTTTTTCAAACAAAACTGGCCTGGCGGGTCTTTAAAGCTTGCTGCTTGACTTTCAAATGGAAATACCTTTAACTGTTACCAGCCCCTTTTTCTGACACAGGGTTAGTGGGAGACAATCTGTCATCCCAAGTGATTGCCATGGGGCCAACTGCTGACTCCAAAACAGTGTTTCATGTGTTTCTATGTTCATTCACTCAATCATACAAGAAATGTATTTGAGCATTTGCCACATTCTGCCACATCTGTACTTCACTTCCCTCTCTTATTAAATGGAGACAACACTGGGCTTCACAAGGCAGAAAGGAGATAAAGCATGCAATACTCAGAATGGTATCTGGCACATAGTGAACACCCATTAAATGTTAGCTGTTATTATCATCGTTATTCATGGTAATCATGCTTTCTTAATCCCACCTTCTTCTTGCGCACATTAAGTGTTTGCTAACAGGTTTACGGGTTTTGTTTTCCTGCTGGAGCCCTGACTTGAAGCTTGGGTTTCTCTTTCCTTTTCCAGGTCTCACTTACCTTGATGACCTGCTACCCAAGCTGTGGGCATTTATCTGTGAGCTGGGGCCCCATGGAGGGTTAAAGCTCTTCTTGGAATGCCTGAACAATGACACTGAGGAGCCCAAGCAACTCTTGGCCATGCTGATGCTGTTCTGTGACTGTTCCCGGCACCTCATCACGTAGGTTGACAACTATGGGACTGAATTCCTTTCCTAGAATTCAGAGGGACCAAATATACAATGTCAGTAAGAAAATCATTGTGGATATGATTACTACATGTATACATTTGGATCTGTGTGGCAGGGGCATTATAAGAATTAGACAAGGAGTGCTTAGCACAGTCCCTGGCACATAGGAAGGGCTGAATACTTGTTGACTGTTATTATTACTGAAAGAAGTTTGGCACCAGTAACGACTCCACGCCCAGTCTGAACCAAGAGATTTATTAAAGGGGCAGTTACACGAAGGGACTGTAACCGAGGAAGGGCAAGAGAGAGAGAGAGACCGAGAGAGAAAGAGAGAGTAAGAGAGTGGCGGGGACAGAGAGAGAAAACAAGAGAGAAAGAGAGAGAGCTATGCAGGGAGAAGGATATATTTATGAACCTTGTAGGGGCTGGCCAGTGCCGGGCTAGAGTCTTATTGGAGGAGACTATGAGGTAGCATTTCTATAGGGAGAGGTTGTTTGAGCACAGGTTTAAGTTTCGTGCAGGCGGGAAAAGCTACTTAGGATCTTTGTTGTCTTTGGGAGGCAGCGCCATCTTGGGGACGCCCTTCTGACTGTTCTCTGCACCTTTCAATACCAAGCTGTTTCTGAGCAAGTTGCTTAACCTTTGAGTCTCAGTTTTCTTACTAGAATAGAAATAGTCTTACCTACCTAATAGGCAGTATATGAGAAAAGGAATGTCAAGTACTCAGTACAATGTCTAGCACAAAGTGGGAAATAACTGCTATTCCCATTCAGTTTCTTTGTGTTTTAAGCACATGTGCCTACTTGTGTGTTTGGCATTCTTTCAATTCCACCTTTTCCCAAAAGGTTGGTGAAGAATTATGAAACAGAATGGACCTCAAGCAGTTATGTTCAGGCTAGAAGACATTAGCAGGAGAGAATCGGGGCATTAGGTGGAAGACTGGGTGAGCATAGTTGAGGAGGGGGCTCCGTGAGCAGCTGGAGACGAGAGCAGGACTCTAGCTGTGGTGAAGACACTCTGGGTGAAGGGATTCCAGGAGGGAATCATGTTCTAGTGTAAGGAGCACTTTTAGGAATTTTCAAATAGAGCTGTTTCATAAATGACTCATTTATTTATCTATTCTTTCAAACATGTATTTGTTCACTCACAAATATTTATCAAGTACTTACTGTCAGCAGTATCTGTCCTAGATGTGGAATAAGATTCCACAGCTTTCCTTAGTAAACACAGACTCTCAGCCAAGATTCCTTGATATTCAGGAATGAATAAGGCATAAATTAAGAAAGTGTCACAGTTGAGGCTGGGCACAGTGACTTGTGCCTGTATTCCCAGCACTTTTGGAGGCCGAGGCAGAAGAAATGTCTGAGCACAGGAGTTTAAGACCAACCTGGGCAACCTAGTGAGATCTTATCTCTACAAAAAAATTTTTAAATATTAGCTCGGCATGGTGGCACACACCTGTAGTCCCAGCTACTCAGGAGGCTGAGGTGGAAGGATTATCTGAGCCCCGAAGGTCAAGGCTATGGCGAGCTGTGATCATGTCACTGCACTCCAGACTGGGCAACGAAGATCCCGACTTAAAAAAAAAATAATGTTAGAGTTGGGTTTTTATGAGTAAGGAAAATATAGAGTAGTGCTTATTATTTTCTTAGTTGTATTTTTTTTTTTTTTACCTTTTGCTACAGATGCTTTCAAATTCATAGAAAGTAGAAAAAATGATATAATGAGCCTTCGTGTGCCCATCTCCAGCTGTTAGAGTTCCCACCTCATAGCCAGTTTTGCTTTAAACCCCCACCTGCTCTCTTCCCCCAGGTTATTTTAAAACAAATTTTAAACATCATATAAGTTTAGCTGTAAATTTTACAATAAGTATCTCTAAAAGAGAAAACTTATTTCTTTTTCTTTTTCTTTTTTTTTTGAGTTGGAGTCTCACTCTGTCTCCCAGACTGGAGTGCAGCGGCATGCTCATGGCCACCGCAGCTTCAACTTGCTGGGCTTAGGCAATCCTTCCACCTCAGTCTTCCAAGTAGCCGGAACTACAGGTGTGTGCTACCACGCCTGGCTAATTTTTGATTTATTGTAGAGACGAGGTCTCACCAAGTTCCCCGGGTAGGTCTCGAACTTGTGGGGTTAGGCGATCCTTGGCCTCCCAAAGTGCTGGGATTACAGGCTGAGCCACCGAGCCCGGCCAAAAGCTTATTTCTTAACCTTGTTCTTTTTGTCTATTAAACAGTAACGATCTCATTTTTCTTCCTTTTCTCAATTCTAAATAATTTTCTGCCTGATTTAGGATCCTTGATGACATTGAAGTTTATGAGGAGCAAATTTCTTTCAAACTGGAAGAACTTGTGACCATCTCCTCTTTTCTGAATTCCTTCGTGTTTAAGATGATCTGGGATGGAATTATAGGTAAGGTAAAGGTGTCCACTGCCGTTTGATTGATGTTACACCCAGAAAGGCCAGAGAGTTTATAGCATCCCCAATTCCTAGCTTTATGGTCTATCAAAGTTAATAGAAGATGCACATTTATTTACAGAATTGGAAGTCTTATTTCATCACCCTTTGTGTGTGACCTCTTAAGATAGTAGTGTGGATAGAGACAGTCTCACTCTCCCAGATGTCCTTCAGGATTTGCATGTATGTGTCAAGGATTATTAATGACGATTAATTTTGTCCTGAATCTCCTTTGATTCTTCTTATTGACTTCCATGAAGATAAAACGTGTGCCAGTTCACATTCCAAATGAGAGCCCACCTCCTGAGGTGTTTCCAGTTGTTCAGTCCAAAGCTTCTTAGATTAAAAAGGCCCTCTGGATGACACACTAGTGAGAAGCAGCCTGAGTGATTGTGTCTAAGAAGTATTCAGGCCCTGCAGACACTTGGCATGTACCTGGGGTGCCTTTTAATTCCTTTATTTCCACATGCAATTCAGAATAAGGGCTATCAAAGACTCAATGGTGACCACAGAGGACACGAGCTGTCCTCCCCTCCTCTCTGGTTCTGACTCCTCTTTTATGAGTGTGGCTCTCCTGTTTGTTACCCCACAGAGAATGCCAAGGGCGAGACCTTGGAGCTGTTCCAGTCCGTCCACGGGTGGCTGATGGTGCTCTATGAGCGGGATTGCCGGCGGTGCTTTGCTCCAGAGGACCACTGGCTGCGAAAGTGAGCACCAGGAGTGGGGGCTTCACCGGAGCCAGAGTCTGCCCTGTCTCACTGCCTGCTGCAGAGCTGCCAAGTGCTCAGTGCTCACATTCGAGGGCGGAGAGGGTTTTTCCCCCTTCTTCATTTTGTCCATTCGTCTGTGTAAAGAGAGCTGCAACTTCTGTGAAGTACCTGTCAGGATGCTTCTGATGTGGCCTGGCAGTTGTTTCTGTTAAGAGATGCTTACACCGAATATGATTAAAGTTAATTAATGGCGACAAAGCCAGATTATATTTAGCAGACGTTTCTTAACCAGACTGGGAAGAGGTCTTTCAGCTGAGCTGAGCAACAAGTTATGATAGTTGCATGGCAGTTTTTATCAGCAGAGTTGCCAGGTTTTTTGGAGGATGGGGTGGGGGATCCTCCTACAGCTAAACATAAGAGCATGTCAACATTTTTATCCATGGCATGCCAGTTCTTGTGCAACCATGGCACTAGAGCAGGGACTGGCAGACGGTGTCTGTAAAGGGCCTTATGGTTTTAGGCTTTTGGGCCAGACAGTCTCCATTTAGCTACTCAACCCTGTCTTTGTGTCACGAAAGCAGCCATAGATGATACATATATGAATGCATGTGGTTGTGTTCCAGCCATGCTTTATGGAAACAGGCAGCAGGCTGGGCTTGGCCCATGTTCCGTAGTTTACTAGCTCCACACTGGAGAATTTTTTCGTTTAATTATCCCAAACCCATGTCTTTCTTCTTAAGGGATCTCAAACCTAGTGTGCTCTTCCAAGAACTCGACAAGGACAGAAAGCGAGCACAGCTGATCCTGCAGTACATCCCTCATGTCATCCCTCACAAAAACGTGAGTTGTCCTCAGAGCTGGGCCCCTGGAGTTTCTTTCTGTTCCACCACATGGTTCCTGACTTTCCATCTTTGTTCCAGCAATTGGAAATGACTAAATGGGGGTCATTCATTCAGCAGTGGAAATAGTGATTTCTCTTACTCTGTGGCATGTGCTATGCTAAGAGCTGGAAACATAGAGCTGGAGAAGACACGGTGAACTGACAATTCTGGGGGAGTGGGACAGGTGCTGTCGGGGCCCAGCCATGGGGACCTGACCTGGCTGTAGTTGGGGTGGAGGGCAGAAGAGGACTCTGCAGACAGAAGTGACAGTGTATGAAGGCCCAAGTGAGGATGGAGTGCTGCTGGAGAGAAGGTGGACAATGGAGGCGAGAAATGAAGCTGAGGAGGAGCTGAGGAGATACTAGAGCAAGAAGGGCCTTATAACTAGGAAGGGCCTTCTGCTAACCAGGAGCTGGGATTTTATCCAAAGCCACTGGAGGGTTTTAAGTTTAGGAGGTGCCTGGTTAGAACTGTACCGAGTTAGGAAGATCATTCTGACTACAACGTGGAGGACTGGCTGGAGGCAGAGGGCATTAAAGCAAGATGGCCTGGCCTAAGGTTGGGATGCAGGAGGCAAAAGATGATCAAGCCTAGAGATCTTTAAGGAGGGCCTAGAGAGTGGAAGGGTCTGACGGGAAGGAAAGGAGCCATTCAGATGGGGCTCAGGTTTCTGGCTTGAATGTGGTGGGCACTCGTGAGGGCCATTCCCAGAGCTGGAGGCAAAGGCAAGAGCAGGCCTGGACACTGGTGAGGAGCTCAGCTCTGAGCAGGTAGGATGTGAGGAGTCTGAGCCTTCTGGAAGCCATTGGACACGTGGCCTGGAGCTCAGGGGAGAGGACTAGGCTTGAGACAGACTACGTGAAGACAGCACCCAGGTGTCCTGACTGCCTATGTGGATGTGGGTATGGTAGTTAGGGAACCAGACAGAGTGAGACATCCGGGGAGCGAGGCCCAGAATCCTGCAGGACCCAGTACCCAAAGGACCAGTACTAGGAGAGAAGGAGGAGTCGAGTGTGGTGTCACACACCCAGGGGAAGCAAGAGACGGGAACGGTCACATGCTGTGGCAGGAATATCCAGGAAATGAGAGACAGCATTGCTCACATCCTGGTAAGTAGTGGGCACTCCAGAAGTGCCCATCAGATGCCAAGACAATGCTGTGCTCATCCTAGAAGAAGCTCTTGAGAGTCTAGGTTGTGCTCTTTCACTTTTTTCCTACTCTATTTTCTTTGTTTTACAAAATAAACATTTTTAGAAGAGTATAAATCACATTTTTGTAAATTAAATCTCACTTTTCAGAGATACTCAATTCTCACTGCTCTCTGATCCTGTTTCGACCTTGACTTTAATACCTATGGTTGCTATTCTTTCCCCTCAAGCAGTGATGTGCAAACAATGTGGCTGTTTAAATTCTTACTGCACTTGACAGACTCTCAGAAATGAAGGCCATTACGGTGATTACGTAGTCAAATGTGCCCTCAGAGGGAGGCCCTACTGCACATTCCTGACCTTGCTTCTGATAGGAGATGTACAGCTTTGCAAAACAGGCTGTGCTACAGCTTCACTCTTCCACGGTGGAACATCCTTCCTCTTCATTAGCCGCTCTGCTTCTCTGTAACTTCTGCACTTTGTTCCTTGAGCAACCCCTGAACTGACACCTCTACTCTACAGAGCAGTACCTCTTCTGAGTTCTGCATACACCTCCTGTGGGCCTTCAGAGTCTTCTGTTTTCCAAGTGTCACATCCTTAGCTTCTTCAAACAGTCCTCGTTTGAAGTAGGCTCCAGCCCCAGTTTCTGGGCCTTGTCTGGTTTGGTGCTGTCTGGTTTAAAACGTGCCACCTCATCCTAGACCTCTGTCTGTGAATTCAGCCTTTGACTATAGTATTCTCATAACACATAGTCTGGAACCTTCACTCCATATGTCTGCAGTGCCTGGGGTTGCCACAGGGTGTTTTAAGTCTTTGAGGAGAACACAGTGGAAACACTATGAGGACTACTAGTTCAAAGTAGTTCAATGCAGTTGAACTACATTCTTTTCAATGATGTTATATTTGCAAAGCTAGGTTTTAAGAATGAGATAAAGGCATTTATATTTCAGCATTTGTGCATTTGTTAAATATAGTCATTATGTTCTTAGGACATAAATACCCATTGTAAGGCCCCAACTACCTAGGAAATTGAACTGCTAGGGATTTCTTTGGGCCTAGGAGTGCCATGAAAAAAAAAAATGACCGAGACACTAGGGGTGCTGTGAAGAAAAGAGTTTGGAAACCACTGAGATTAATTGGAATGACCTGTGCATCCAAGCTGTATGCTAATGCCCACCATTTTTTTTCTTTTGGGAATTTTACTTAAGATTGCCATAAAGGCTGTTTGTCCTTGGCACATAAAACTCCTCCTGGTGAAATAGGGCCTTTCTCGTCTCCTGACCCCTCCTTTCCCAGGGGTTGCACCAGCAGATCCTGGAGGAGTACCTCGGGCTCAGTGTGTTCAGGGCGGCAAGGGCTGTCTTGTTGTCTCCTCCAGCTCTGGCTCCATGCCCCCGAGCAGTGCACATGCTGTCCTCTGCCACTGAAATACTCCTGTTGGAGAACACAGGACGGTAATAGGATCTGCCATCAATGCTGATCTGTCTTCCTTGTTCTTGACCTCACTGTAATGCCTTTCTTGTTTTCCTCAACATTTTTAAAACCACAGCTCTGTATAGCTCATTCACAAAGCACTTTATTCTCTGCACTTTCTCACATTGCTTTTACCCGCTTATGTGCAGGTAAATTCCTGACTGGGAATTAAGGCCTCTACCTCTTGTTTCAGCTTAAAGGCCTCAGTAGTGTGGGGTGGGCAGGGGCTGTGCCGTAGGGTGGTCTATATGTGGGCTCTGGCTTGATCCTCACCCCTCTGTCCCTAGCTTTGTGACTTTGAGTGAGTTAGGTTCCTTGTCTGTAAAACAGGGACAGTCGTCTTTACCTAGATGCCCACTTCGGTCACTGCCATCCCCAGTCCTTGGAACCTGGTTGTGGTTGCCTTGAACCTTCTTCCACGTCCCATGGAAATCCAGGGCTGTGTCTCTGTCTTGTAGTTCTGCTTCTGTCTTCCACTCTCCCCACCCCATGCTGGATTGACCCAGACATGAATCTTATCTTCTGCCTCATGTTCCAGAAAATGGCATCCGTCACTCTAGATGATCATGCCGAAAATCTGGGGTCACAGGAAGTAGTTGTGTCACACACCACACGGCCCCACACACCTTAAGTACCTGTTTCCAGAGTCCTGCAGTTCCCTGCTATAGGAGGGAGAGGCGGAAGCACCCTTAATTCACATCACTGGCTCCCTCACTGGGTCTTCAGCCCACTGTCTCCCTACTGCATGGCCCTGGAGCCCCCAGAGCTTTTGATACTCTTCAGAGCATTTCAGGCCCGTTTCTAGACTTGTAGACCAGACATATTGAATTGCTTCATTGATGGTAATTTCTCCACTGAATACCATGTCCCCTTCTTCTTAGGAGGCTATTAGTAAATTACTTTCTCTGTTACAGACATATTTACTTCATAGAGTTAATGTAATGATTAAATGAAAAGAAACTATCCTCTTCCCCCGTATTTAGTTCACACTATTACTATTGTTCTTGCATCTATTGTTCTTATTGTTATTAGTGCTATTACTGTTCTTATTTGTATTTAATATAGCTTTTGGCTTTAGGGGAGATATCCATTTTTAGAAAAAATGACTATGATTAGAGTTCATTCAGTTGCCTTTATTTGAATGCTAGTAGGGTTGTGACTCTCATACACAGGTAGGACAGAGAGTCATGCTTTTCTAAAGAGACCCATCAGAGTCTTTAGAATAAGAAGAGGGTTCTTTTCAAGCAATAATTGAGAAATATTGCTGGTAGGACTGTGACAGGCTTGAAGGCACAGAGGAGGCAGATGTAAAGGTCAGAGACCTTTATACTGTAGGCTCATTTTTAAAATTTCTGACAATAGAAAAAAAATACCTTTGAATTGTTTGGTTTTTAAATGCATAGTATTGATTTCCTTTAGAGCAGACCCAACTGTGTAGAGAAGCCTGTGTAGCTTGTTCTGCCACCAGGTTTTTACAGTGGCTTATTGACTGAATAAGGAGAATGATTTTCTCCTGGACTGTTCCTAGCTGGACTCTAGTGCAGCCAGACCATGCCTTCTGGAGCATTTCTCCTTGGCATGTACTCAGCTGTGTGTCTAATGCCAAGTGTTCTGGGAAGTGTTTACTGCTCTCACAAGATACTTCTAGCTGGTGGCACATGTCAAGGCATCCCATCTCATGTGACTTAAATTTCAGTAATTTTGTAGAGTGTTTTTATGGAATTGCTTGGTCACTTACCCTGTTTCTGGCCCCACCTTGGCTCATTTCAGAGAGTCCTGCTGTTTCGAACCATGGTTTCCAAGGAGAAGGAGAAGCTGGGGCTTGTGGAAACCAGCTCCGCCTCCCCACATGTCACTCACATCACCATCCGCCGATCCCGGATGCTGGAGGTGAGCATGAGCCCATGGAATCCCACCACGAAGTACACTCTGTGAACCGCAGGCTTTGTAGTGAGTGATCTAGTGCCTGTGAACTGTTCTTGTCTCTTCTCTATCTCGTAACTCTGAAATCCAGGCTCTGACAGCAGAAAAGGGATCATTTGTCCTACTGACTGTTCTCAGTAGCTGCTTGGTTAAGTACGTCCTTAGTGCTAGAGCCCCACAGTGTCTTCCTTTGCCCCATGAGGGCCCTTAGAGCATCAAACCCTTCATGCTTCTTTGAAAGGATAGGAGCTGCCAGCTGCATTGACATTCTTGTATGTGTGCAAGCTTCATTTGTCCCAGCAGACACTTTGCCCAGATTCCCAACTGAATATGTGAAGGCGGAATGGAGGTGTTGCATTTACTATGCCATACAGAGAAACACATTTATCACAGAGTCAAGTGGCAACAGAAACTTAGGAGATACAAGTGAAGTGGCCTATCTTAGGCAAGCCCATTGTCCAGAGTTACTACCCTCTGGCAACTTCATATAAATTGGAGATAGGGACTCTATCCTCATATGTCAGGAAATAGTCATAGTATATTGACTACAAGACCCTGACTACAGTCTGCTGGAACGTGGTTGTCATGGTTGTACCTACCTACAGTGTCTGTGCTGTTCATGCCACAGCCTTACCCAGGGTTGTGTAGTGCACAGCCTGCCCTTATGTGCTGGTCCTGCCAGCAGTGGAATTAGTGACTGAACCACAGTCCTCAATCCCAGGAGAGGCTTGGCTTGATTTGCCATGTGTGCCCTTTAGACCTTTTATCATACTCCAGCCACTGTTCCTCCTGAGTGTGTTCTGCAGTGTGGAACAGTCATGGGACTCCACAGCAGCACGCAGCCAGAGAGCCACATCCACTAGCAACTGGCGTAGGGCGGCAGCTCTTCCTCCTCTGCGTCTTCATTTTCTTCCTTAGTGCATCGCTTCTTACTGGGGAACTTGTACAAGTTCCTTTGGCCACTGATGGTTGAAAAAGGCAACATGTGTTAGCAGATGCTTTTGGTTTTCTTAAAGGTAGGCAGAAGGAATGCAAACACCCCAGGGCCCTTGGGCCACATGAAAGAGCAAAGCTGACAGTGGGTCTTGTTGCAGGAACGCTGTTTGCATGCTCAACAGATAGAAATAGCCTCGCCTTCCATGACTTCTCCTGTTTCCCTTGAAACAGCCTCCTTGGTCTATGTGCCTCTTCTTAAGAAAACAGCCATGTGAGTGAGGTAACAAATGGTAACTGACACCAGCCTCAGGACCGGGGAATGTGGAGATGGGTGGGTACATGAAGAGCACATACCTCCCCAGAGGAGCATCCTTCATTCAGCTCTCTGGACTCGCCATGTAGAGATGTGGGCTCCACAGCACTCCGAATTCTTAAGGCCAAGATTCAGGGTTTTGTGTGAAATCCTCAGACCTTGTGTGTTGTGAACTAACTAAATTTTGTAAAGTGCAGTAGGTCAGATGACACCCTTCATTCCACTGAATTCAACCTGTGGGCCACCATCTTGCAACCTCTGCTTTTGAATCAAAGAAAAAGCCCAGCTGCGTTGTAGAAATTTCCTTCTAACGTTTTCCTCATCAGACCTGGATGCACCTCCCCTGTCTCTAGCCCTTGTACCTCCACCTGTCATACCCACTGGAACAGCTTGCAGTGGTATCGACTGTGGTATCTCCTGGGAGTGGCAGAAGCCCTGAACTTCAGTGTCACTATTTACGGGAAATTCACTTGACGTCCAGCTACTCTGGGCCTCCTCTGTAAAATACTTCCCTTGGGGATTGTCAAAGGACAGCTCTGTCTTAGGCTTTAGGGAAAGTCCGTTTTCCTCTTGATTTTCCATCAGAGAGGGGGAGAGGGCCTTTTATTGTTACCCCGGTTCTTGGAACCTGAGCGCCCAGTTGCTCTTGCTTGATTTGGACACAAGGGGGCATCAAAAAGCTGCCATCAGACCCATGGGATCCTGGACTTGTATTCTGTTTCCTTCTCATGGCTTGTGTGGAAGGCTGTGCTTCTGTACTAGGTTTCTGGATGTTAAAGTCCTGCAGGAAGGTCTCCCCCAGAGGGTAGATCGGGACCAAAACTACCGTTTCAGAACTGGAAGAACTCTCAAACGTACTCTCATCTAGCCCTTTCCCCTCACCCTGTCAGAGGCAGAACAGAGGCTGGAGAAGTTGGATTCTCAGTCAAGGTCACTTGGATATCAGGGACAGGCCTGGGAGCCAGGCCTGCCTTTCCCAGGCTAGTGTTCTCTGTCTGCATGTTGAAATGCTGAAGAGGAGGAATGCTGGGCTCCCATTCATCTTCCCAGGAGGTGTTCGCACCACCCTCGCCACCACCCAGCTTGCAGGGGCAGGAGACAGATGAGAAGAGGCAGTGGCACGTTCCCCTTTGTAAAAAAGAGGCTTGTGTGGAGCTGGTCAAACAAGACTGAGGATTGAATCCAGCAGATATTCCTTGAGCCAGGAAACATGCTAAGTGCTTTCACATCTGCCATTCCACTGAGAGGCCCTTGGGACAGGCCTTCGGGTCACTGTGAGCATGGCAGGAAGGCAGCAAACTTCCCCAAAATAAGGCTTGCCATACTGGTAGTTGGCTCATTTGCTTGGTGACAAGGTGAGCAGACTGGCAGCCAAGTGGATGCTATGGAGACGGTCTGTCTGATGTCAGCAAGGCATGTGGCAGCATTGCACTTGTAGCTGAAAGGGAGAAATGTGGTATGGCCTCCATAGATGGTGCGGTTGATTGTGACTTACTGTGTGACATCATCTAATGGCATTGGTTTCACCAATGTCCTAATAACTGTTTACATTAGGGACCTCTCATGTTGGGCTAGAGGACTCTTCCCAGGCCCTGCCCTGTAAAGTCCCTGCTCTGAAATAAAAACCTCAGCACCCCAAACACTCAGAATGCATCAGATGGCAAAATCAGAGGCCAGGAAGACCTGGGCAGTTAGAATCAAGAGACAAGATGATTTTATAGAAGAATGCTGGAGTTGGTTCTGGTGGCCGTGCATGTTGAGTTCTGAATAGGGAGGATAAGATGACCCCGAGCCAAAGGTCCAACATCCCTCCTGCACCCAGTCTCTGCTTCCCACCTGGTCCCTGACATCCATGTGCCCTGCTGCTGGTAGAAAGCTCTTTCTAAGAAAGCCAGTCAGGTTGCACCCTGCCTATACCCTTCTGTGGCTCTGTTGCCCTTAGGATATAGCCAGAATTCCTCAGCATGACTCACACGGTTCTTCATGATCTGGGAAAGACTGGAGAAGATGAGGGGTGAGGAGTACTTTTTATGTTATGGTGTTTTATAAGTTTGATTTTTTTTTAAACCACAAGCTAAAAGATATTCTTAGCATTGAGAGAGAGAGAGAGATCCACCTTGTCCTGGTTTTTTCCATCCTTTGTCTGACAGCCAAGAGCTCATCATGACTCATTTTGCCTAATTTCCTCATCGTGTGGCTCTGTGACCCCTCGAGATCAGACTCTCTTTGCCCAGGAGTAGCACCACCACATCCCCAGTGGATCCCCCTTTTGATAGGCTCTTGTTCAGAAGCAGGTGAGAACTGCTCTTCCCGAGGGCCGTGTCCTGACTCCCACGTTTAGCAGTTACACTGTGCAGGCTTTGTGTGGGGAGCAGAGCCTGAGGGGGGAGCCCTGAATTATGCGGGAGGCCTTGGGTTGCTGATGGCTGTAATTCTGCTCCCGACAGGATGGCTACGAGCAGCTCCGGCAGCTCTCCCAGCATGCAATGAAGGGTGTAATCCGGGTGAAGTTTGTCAATGACCTTGGGATGGATGAGGCCGGGATTGATCAAGACGGTGTCTTCAAGGAGTTCTTGGAAGAGATCATCAAGAGGGTGTTTGACCCAGCCCTCAACCTGTTTAAGGTATGTAAAGGGAGCAAGAGCAGGATTGACAGCAGCCAAATTCAAGGTGATAAACAGAAGTGAAGAGCCAGGCTTGCTCATTAATGGGCACTTAACCTCTCGGCCTCTCTCCATCTCTCTGCCTTGCAGACAACCAGCGGAGATGAGAGGCTGTACCCCTCGCCCACATCCTACATCCACGAGAACTACCTGCAGCTCTTTGAGTTTGTGGGGAAGATGCTGGGGAAGGCTGTGTATGAGGTAGGCACCTTAAGGAGCAGAGACATGGAAGATGAAATGTCAGCGGCGCCAGGGGCTGCTTCTATATGTTTGTGTCACTGGGCCCATCTGTGTAAACAGTCATTAGGACATGATTGAGGAAATAGGCAGGAATAAAGATTTGTTAAATACCAGTGCTGGCACTTTGCACACATCTTTTCATTTAATCCTCTTGACCGTCCTGTGACATGGCTGCTGCTTTCCTGATTATTTAAAAATGAGGGAACTGAGGCCCCAAGAAGTCACTGTCCAAATGCTCATTGCTTGTTAAGTGAGAGAGGCAGAATTAGAACCCAGGCTGGCCCTTGTGCTAAGCCAGCTATCTGCCTCCCTGTGGTATGCAGAGCCAGGTCGCCACATGGAGTCCAGTCCCAGTTGTGGGAGGGCAGCATTTTAAAGTCCTGTGTTATATGGGGGCTTCACGGCTGGGGATGTGTGGATGTTGGCCTACAGACTGGAACGAGAAGATAGGACAGGGCCCATGGCAGCTGGACAAGACAGCTCCTCCCGGCCGACCATGTGACCGCATACATTTAAGTTGCTTTCCTATTTTCTCAGTAGTAAGTGGAGACAAAAGCTGTGTTTCTGGATGGCTGTTGATGAGGTGACAAGTGTGAGCACTTCCTACAGTGCCTGGTACCTGTCACCCCAGGTCGGTTGAAGCTGTCACCTTCACTGTTACTGAGAGGAGGGGAATCTGAGCTTCTACTCTGTGGCCTCATGGGGTCAGGGTGGTGTGGACCCCTACAGACTCAGGAGAGGCCCACACACCTGCTTCCTGTCCACTGAGTGCTGGGGCGGGACCCCCTCACGTGGTCTTGAGAGGCCCACCCCCCAGGAAGGAGGTAAAGCTTCAACCCAGGCCCGTTGGCAGCCTGTGGCCTACACAGTGGACTCCAGAGCTGTGAGGCCTTCCCGGGGCCCAGCCCCAGAGGAAGTGAGCTGCCTGGGCAGTGCTCCTCTCACCAAGGAGCCCTCGAGAGCCAGGTGCTGTCCAAACGGAAGTGCCAGCAGCGGGCAGCAGCTGAGAGGGAGGCCTTGGACACTTCCACACTTGAAACAGCTCTCCCTAAGTGCAGAAACAGCTTCTGCACTTAGGCCTCTGTCCAAGGCATGATGAGGTCAGATGTCCCATCTGAATCCCTGCCTGCGCACCACTCAGTCCTCCTCTGCCTAGTAAAAGGGCTATAGGCTCATTCTGTGCCTTTCTCCTTATCTGCAAAATAAAGACAATTTCTTAAGAAGATTCATATTTTTAAAAATTACAAATCCCATTAAGACCTACCCAGGCATACATGTTTTTTCTTTACACATGCAATTGTAGTAAGACCTAGGAGACTCTGAGCATCTAGAAAGCCTGACTTCCTGGCTCTTCTGATGTCCTTCCCAACTCTGGGCCTTGCCTCTGCCTTCTGCCTCTCCCTTACCTCTGGCAGTAATCGTACTGATGAGAGGAATTAGGGCCCGCTGGCCCTGTGAGTGGTGTGCATTAGCCACCTAACCCTTGTGGTCCTTTGGGACAGGCATCATTGGGTCTGCGTGACTCCCTTCTCATCTTGCAATCCACATTCCTCTCCCCACCCTCTGGTAATGACCTGGCACAGTCTGTCGGCATTTCCTTGGCATTGTTCCACAGTTACCCAGCTGGGTCCCTGCCTCCTGACTTCCTCCAGTCCATTTCCCACATGAAGTGCAGATCTGTCACTTCCCTGCTTACAGCCCTCAGCATCGAGTCAGACTGCAGCAAGATCAGACTGAGCAGGTCCTGCTTTGTCCCTGGCTTCGTCACACCCACCCTCCTTCCCAGTGCTGTGGCCACCCAGATCTGTGTTCCATCCTTGGAACAGCCTGTGGGCCTCGTACCAGGGTCTCGTGCTGCCTTTGGCCTGGCTTAGATAGTTCTTCCTCTCGGAAGCTTCCTGGTATGCCTCCGAGCGAGAGTCTATCCTCTGTGCTTCTTTGGCACCTGTCACCGCAGCTGCACTGAGGGCCGAGGCAGGGTCAGTACTGCATTTGTTCGGTCCCCATACTGAGATGTGGTGCTGTGCCCATTGAGGTGAGAAGGCTGATGATCCCAGGCCTGGCAGTGGCTGAGCTGAGATCTGATCCCTGATCTCAGTGTAGCTCCTAAGCCTGTGCCCTTAGCCCCTGCTCTGTAGCTTCCCAGGGCACTTAACAATCTTTGGTATGTAATGGAGATACTGCTCTCCAGATTGAAAACTGGGGGCCACATCTGCAGCCTGAACCACCTGACCTAGTTACTGAGTCAGAACCTCATGTGGCCCAGTTGAAAGCTGCTCTTTCCTTCTCCTGCAGGGAATTGTGGTGGACGTGCCCTTCGCGTTCTTCTTCCTGAGCCAGCTGCTCGGGCACCACCACAGCGTCTTCTACAGCTCTGTGGATGAGCTTCCTTCCCTGGACTCCGAGTTCTACAAAAACCTCACTTCTATTAAGGTGAGTGCAGAATGGCGAGCTCAGTCGAGCTCTGGTGAGAAATCCTAGCTACAGAAGCCCTGCAGGTCCAACTTTGCCTGCCATCGCTGCCTGGATTGAGAGCTCCTGACCTGTCCCTTCCAGCCATCTCCATAGCCACTGCATGCCCCACATCCCTGTGGGCACGCCCCCCCTGGCTGGTCCTGACAGCCTCCTTCCTCAGGAGCATAGGCGACCTCTCCTTTGCTGCAAACCATTCCGCAGCCATGGTGGCTAACACCGCCTGGGAGCACCTGGAGGATGGGGAGAGTTCAGCTCCCCAAGGCTGATGCTCCCGGTCCCCAACATTCCCCTTCTCTGTTTCCTTAGCGCTATGATGGAGACATCGCTGACCTGGGCCTGACTCTGTCTTACGATGAGGACGTCATGGGGCAGGTAGGTCAGCCTCTCAGGCCAAGCTCTCCTTGTCTTCCCTCTGCAGCTTCCTGACATCTACCCTGTTTTTAGTATTTTCCCCAGAGAGAGGGGTACAAGCTGAGGGTCTGTGTGGTCTCTCTTCCTCCCCTCCCACCCATTGTCCTTCTCCCACCTTGCCAGAAGAGGGGGCAGCCCCCTTTCCTTCCCTGTTTCCCAGCCTTTGATACTCCCCACAGAGACTGCTTTGCTTACGTCACTTACTAGGGTAATTTCCCATTTGTAGCATTGCTTTTCGTTACCATGGTGAGGATTAGCTGTTACAAATGGAGGATTATGACTTAGAGAGGGGGCCAATGCCACCTGAGTGGTGTCTGTAGCAGAAGCCTGTCCTTGTTCATGTCTGGGACAAAGCAGAGCCAGTGGAGGCCCTGGAGTCGGCAGCAGCACCACCATCTCCCACAGGTGTTCCCTTTGGCTTCTCTTGAAGTTTCGTCCATCCCTGCATGAGGCACTGTGTGTGCGTGGCCCAAGCAAGGGCTGCTTGACAGAATCTGTGCCAGGAGTTTCTTAGTGCAGAACTGTCCTCTTAGACACAGGCCTGGTCACCTCAGAAAGGTGACTCAGTCTCCCTGAGCCACATTCTCAAAAAAGCACCATTTGCCAAATATGAGTCCCGGCTGGGCCAGTCTGGAAACACCACTGTGGACCCTGCACGACCTGGCTTCCTCCTTTGAGGCCACCAGGCAGGCTGGTGTGTTAGGGCTCTCAGCAGCCCATGAGAAAGACACTGAAGTGCAGTTGAGCTAACCTCAGGCTTCTCCAGCTCTGACACAGACTCCTTCAAAGAAGGAAGAATACTGTCTCACAGTGATGCTCCTCCAGATGATAGCTCACAGACTGGTTGTTCCTGGAGTGCTTATGGAAAACACCAGGCGGGGCATTCCTAAGGGTCCTTTCAGCTTTAAAGCCTTCTGGTGACACCCTGGATGTTAACAACAGTGAGACTGAGGGCCACTGTTTTTCCTTTCTACATCTGTAGAGTTATAGTATAGTAACCGAATTCTTATTAAAATGAACTTCAAAATGATTTGTGTTTAATTATTAGGTGATCCACAGAAGTGTTCTTGAAGTTGAGGGAAGCAGTTTTTAAACAAATCTATAATCAGATTTTGAGACTTTCTCCTAACCTACTTGATTTTCTCTTCGGACTATAAGAATAATGAAACTTATAACAGAAAATTGGCTATAATATGAGCATAAAGATGAAAATGAAAGCCACCTGTGATGCTGGTACCCAGAGGGTGTCCCTGATAGTGTGCCTGTCCTTCCAGACTCGGGCATGTATATCCTTTTTTTTTTTTTTTTTTTTGGCCGAAATGATACCATACCATGCCTGGTGTTATATGATCTTTACCTTTCCAATAAATACACATCTTCATCATATTTGTAATAGTGCGCAGTATTCCAGCATATGGATGTACCAACATTCATTTACTCATCCTGCTGTGCTCCTAAATGCCAACACATTCCCCCCATGACATTCCGAAGCCTTGATACAAATGTTTGAACAAGGATTGGATGAGAAAAAAACCTTGTATATTGATCATGCTAGGTCTACTTGTTGATATTTCAGCCTTGAATTTTTGTGAAAAATGTTTGTTCCCCAACACATACTGTCTTAATTTAATCGTTATCAGGGCAGTTGAAGCAGGCCCTTTTAGCCTCAGGAAGCTCTGTTTCCCCACTGGAGTCCTCTCTGGTAATTACTCCCCCTCTTCTCCCCCAGCTTGTTTGCCATGAACTGATTCCTGGAGGGAAGACCATTCCTGTTACAAATGAAAATAAGTGAGTATAGCAATTATATTTTAAGGTCACCACTTGAAAATACTTTATTCTGGCTCTCCGGGCTTACGTGGAGAATTTATTAAGATAGATGGAAGTAGAAAGAGGCCATAAATATCATAATGGAAATTACTGGTTACAGTTCATAGGCCGGAATTGTATTAAATTCGATTTGCAAAATAAGAACTGACAATTTGTTTTTTGTAGTAACATTTCTAAGGTCAGAGGCACCCAGGCCCTGGTGCTCTTAGGAATTTAATGACAGCTCTAGATGCAGACAGATGGATTCTGAGCTCTTCAGGCATGCTGTCCTGAACCCAGAGGACACACAGGCAGAAAGACACCTTGGAGAAGCAGATCATTTTGGAATGATAGCGCGTGGCAGTTGTATAAAACACTGTTGCCGAGAAGACATGGTGATGAATTCCAATGTGGCAAACAGAGGTCTTAAACATGGGAAATCGGGAAGACTCGAGGCCCAGAAGCTATTGCCACATAATGGGCTCTTAGGAATCTATCATAAATGTCAACCTTTCTGGTCCCTGCACTGTCTCCATCCGGCCGTATTGTCACCTAATTAAAACCATAGAGCCTGCTATGAGGAATAGACATTGGTCCCTTTGTCAATCTATGAATCTTCTGCCACTAGGCTCAGCTGAGCATTTGAACTGTTAATCAGTTTCTTTAGTGACAAGTGTGGGCTCAGCCCCATCTGGTGAGTCATTTGGATCAGATGCACATCACAGTCCAATGTTCCAGGCATCATGTTCCTCCCGATTGGGTGGTTTGGTCCACTTGCATGCTTGGGGAGGTTTTATTTAAACTGTCAGAATAGTCAGAAGAACAGACTCTGTTTTTCCATGATCGAAATACACCAGCCTTGCCCAGCCTTGCCCTTTGGCCGCTAGTTTGAAAACTTAGAAGGAACAAAATGCCACTTGGGAGGGGCTGCCTGAGGGAGTGGAGAGGGCCCAGCTCCGAATCAGGGAGAGCAGGGCTGAGTCCTTGTTCTGCCTGCCATGCAACCTGCAACCATTCCTTCAGAGGGCAGCACGTGAGATAAAGTATATGACTATCTTCCAGGATGTTGGGCTCAAAGGAGGGGCTTAATAAATGTCTGCAGTGATAGCAACATCACGGTTTATATGACGTGTCACACAAATCCCACCATCCCCAGCGAGGCCACATGTCACCAGGCATCATGACTTGGGTATGATGGGAGGAAGTCACTCACTCCTCCCAACATAGACATTGGCTGCTGTGTATAGTGTCAGAGGAGGTGGGTCAGTGCAGGCTGGAGTGAGCCTCCTGTCCTGCCATGGAACCTCCTATGTGGAACCTTATCTCACAGACTCTTACACGTTCTTAGCATGGAACTTCAGCATCAGGGCAAGGCTATTCAGTTCAGTAGACTGACTCACAAGGCCTAGTAGTGCCAGTGTACCCCTCTTTAGGGGTAATGTTTAATCTTGCACTTCTTGGATGCTGAATGTTTCTCATTCTCTCTCTTTCTCTTCCTCTCCCCCCTCCCCTGCCATCCCTTTCCTCTCCCTCCCCTCTTTCGCTCTATCAAATGGAACAGCATCAGTGACGTGCTTCAAAGAGTACATGGAAGGAGTAGCAATAATAGAATAATACATATTTGAATGTATTAATGTACAGATTTGCTCCTGGAGAATTTTTTTAGTAAAGATATTTTTAAGGTCACTAACTTAGATGTATTTGGACTGTACTAATTTGGAATTTGTGAGAATTGCACCTGAACTGGACTCAAGTTCTTTCATCTCTGTATAAATGATTTGCTAAGAAGCCAGTGGTACAAGCAGGCCTGTTGGAATGTATTCAAAAGAATTGTATTGTATTATGTCTCTGTATGTGAGGTTGTTGTGGTCATAAAAGCAGGTGTAAAAAACCCTCTGCTTGGAACTGTTGTTGGTTGCTCTGACTTCCCAGCCAAACCTAGGTCACCCAGCTGCGTGTGTTTAAAGCATCCTGCAGTTCTGCTTTTTTCATGGCTTTATACCCTTGGTTCAGATTAGCAAGGTTTTGATTAAAGTTTCAACATGAAACAATTTTTCTATACTTTTTAAAGCTTTTTGGAAGACTGAATGGTATCTTAGTTGGTTTATGTCCAGAGGATAAGATTAAATGACAGTCCAAAAAGCTTCCTTTGTTCAAAGAAGGACCCTCTTCTAACCTGGAGAGTGTCTCACCTTGATTGTTGACAACATAGTAGGGAGTTACCTGATGTGACCCATGGATTTTGAGGGGGAGGAATGAATGAAGTAATGCCCTTGAAGGCTTAGTGCATTTCCAGTGGTACACAGTGTACAATTCAGGAGTGCTGTCATTGTCATTGTTAGTATTTTGGTGAAATGCTCTAATGCTGTGTTTTTTGTGTAAAATGGTTCAGAAATGACTAGACTTCTCTTTCAGCCCATTGGTAACAGCCTGCCCCATCCTGTTAACTTCCATTGTTTTCTCTTCCTTGTTGGCAACAGAATTAGCTACATCCATCTGATGGCCCACTTTCGAATGCACACTCAAATCAAAAACCAGACAGCTGCCCTTATTAGCGGATTCCGTTCCATTATCAAACCCGAGTGGATCCGAATGTTCTCAACCCCTGAGCTGCAGCGTCTCATCTCCGGTGACAATGCTGAGATTGATCTGGAAGATTTAAAGTAAGGGGACGGTAAGGGGGTGGGGTAGAATCCTTAGGCCTCTTAGAAAGCCAGCTACTCTCCTCACAGAGTTCCTTCTGGAGAGCTGTTTCAGGAGCCTGTCTCCAAATGTCCTTCCTCCCTGGTCTCTGGCCAGACTGCCATGGAACAGAAGGTCAGCCACTTTGCCTAGAGACTGGTGGAAATAGGTCTGAGGACCAGGGCCCTCTGAAGCTCTGTGGGAAGGGGTCACAGGATCTCGCACTAGCTTCTGCTTGGGAACATGAGGGCCAGCTCTCAAACTCTCCATTCGTTTAGCTTCCAGTGAGACGGGGTTATTAAGGAATGGACTTCTGGTTTTAAGAGAAATTAGTAGTGTCACCAGGCCTGCCAGGGTGACCATGCCACTTACCTGAGTGACCATGTCTGCCTGTGTCCTTAAGTGCCTGTCAGCATGTGTTGCTGAGCCTATGTCTGGTTTCTTTCAGGAAGCACACGGTGTACTACGGTGGTTTTCACGGAAGTCACAGAGTCATCATCTGGCTCTGGGATATTCTGGCCTCTGACTTCACACCGGACGAGAGAGCCATGTTTCTAAAGGTATTTTTTTTATTACCTGTCCTAGTGTTTGTTCATTCATAAAAACCTAGAAGGCCAGTTGATAGAAGAATTTACACCGGAAAAAATGAAATTATCAGAGGACCTCGTATCATTAGCATAGCTTCTCCCATTGGCAGGCCTTCCAGGAAACCAAACAGTAACCAGAGTGGGGCTTCAGGGGCAAGACTCTGCCTGCTACATGCCCCTGGCTGTAGGGATGGTCCCCTGCATGAGCGGGCATGCCTGTTGGGCTCAGCACTGTACCTTCCCTTCACCCTTTGCTGGCCTGGCTAACATCTTTTTTCTTTCTTTCCTTTCATTATAGGAGTAAATGATATTTATTACCTTATCTTAGGAAAATACAGATAAGCAAAATTTTAAACAGTTGATATTCCTACAGTGTAGAATTTTAGCCTGTCCACATTCTTCCTCACCAGATACTACTTCTGTGTACCCTTTTTCTCAGTGGTGTAAAACACACATAGACAATATACGCACTCAGTGTCTCAAAAAACATACACAGTTGTTTAGGCTGACATTCTGTTGTCTGTAAAGTTGTAAATGTTCAAAATCTTTCCCCTAGTGCCACTACGTTTCTTTTTACTGACATCAAAGTGTAGGGATTTCTACGACACCAGGTCTCTCTCTCTCTCTCTCTCTCTCTCTCTCTCTCTCTCTCTCTCACACACACACACACACACACACACCTGTTTGTGTTATGTATGTGTATATTTTTATAAAGATGGAATCCTATCATTTCACCACTTGCTTTTCTACTTGATAGAGTATTGTGAACATCTTGCCATGTTCTGGGGGTAAATTTTGTGCCTGGAAATGCTTTACTCTGGATGTTTCGGTTTGTTGAGGCAGTCTGGACGGCATCACCTTGGGTGAGATGCAGCTGCTCTTTCTCTCCCGGGGTTGGCCCTTCCAAGGAGAGTTCATCCTGCTAAGACCCTCACTCTAGCAAACACACAGATGCTGCAGCTGTCCACACATCTCCAGAATTCAGGTGGGCAGACAGACACAAATCCAGAAGTTGGTTTGGGAAGAGTCGGCCAGCAGTGCCTCTCGCAGGCCAAACAGTCTCTGCAGACCTGTGGAACCCCTCACCCCTGCCTCTCCTAGAGAGAGAGGACGACCAGTATCTCAAGACCAAGCAGTCGCTGTTGCACACAGCAGGCATGTTTATGTCTTTGGATAAACTGTCTCTAGACATGCATTTCCTTGCCACGTGGGCAGCTGTGGACAGGCTCCAGAGCCAGGTGGAAGGAATACAACATAGAAGTGGTTGTGCATGCTTCCTTACATGCAGTGGTGGAAGTGTCCCCTGCCCTCTGCTCCTTCTCCTGTCTCTGGAGGTTGAGAATGCCCCGCTCCTGTGACCAGCCCCACTTTGGAGCAGGCAGCAGATCTGAGTTGGTCTGGATTGGAATGTGCAGACACTTCTGTGTCCACCTCCTCCTCCTTAAAGCCAGTCTAGCCATGTGACACACAACATCCCAGGAGTGCTTGGGCAAGGTTGCATTCAGGAATGCTCAGTGTTGTGTGAAAGCGAAATAATGCCTTCTGCATGTGAGCTGCTGCTGCTCTGTTTTCTATGAGTAAAACATACTAGAACAGGAATATTTCTTGTCAGTATTTCTTTAAAAAACTTTTTTTGGGGCTGTTGCAGTGGCTCATGCCTGTAATCTCAGCACTTTGGGAGGCTAAGGTAGAAGGATCAGTTGACCCCAGGAGCTCAAGACCACCCCAAGGCAACATAGCAAGACCTCACCTTTATTTAAAAAAAAAAAGCCGGGCTCGGTGGGTGGCTCAGCCTGTAATCCTGTACCTTTGGGAGGCTGAGGTGAGTGAATTGCCTGAGCCTGCGAGTTCGTGACCCGCCTGGGCAGGCGAGACCTCATCTCTACAATAAATCAAAAAAAATTAGCCGGGCGTGGTAGCGTGCACCTATAGTTCCAGCTACTTGGAAGGCTGAGGCGGAAGGATCACCGGAGCCCAGCAGGTTGAGGCTGCGGTGGCCAGGAACGGCCACTGCACTCCAGTCTGGGCGACAGTGAGACTCCAACTCAAAAAAAAAAAAATTAGCCAGGTGTGGTGGCATGTACCTGTAGTCCCAGCTACTCAGGAGACTGAGGTGGAGGTCGAGGCTATGATGAGCTGTGATCGCACCATTGCACCGCAGCCTGGGTGACAAAGACCCCAACTCAAAAAAAAAAAAAAAAAACACCCTTTTTTGAAGCCTGACACACGCTGTCTTTGGATGGTCTCAGGAATTTCACAACCATTTATGACAAGAGCCAAACTCTTACTTGCTACTGACTTTTGGAGCACATATTGGTGTTGTAAGACACAGACCCCTGAGGCCCCTGAGACAGCACATTCGTGGTGGCTGTTGAGCTTAAGGAAGTGATTTTTTAGGACATTCCTGTGCAAGTGTATCACTTGGATTTCCAGGCTGGTCAATTGCCTCTGTCCAGGCACCAGCTGTACATTTGGGGGAACAACACAGTGCTACAGTTTGGGAATGCCAGGAACTCCCAGGGTGCAGTAGGCAGTGACTGGCCGCTCAGTACCACACTCTGCCCCTCAGTCTGCTGGCTTCACAGGCCTGGTTTCTGTGTGTGTGCTCAGAGGTTAGTGTCTCAAAGAGGGGGGCTCTGGTAGATGTGCTCACACAGTTCCCCCATGCGGCCAAGAAGCCAAGCAGGATGCCAGGTGCAGTATGAGCAGCGTGGTCAGTGATGCCATCTGCCCCAGGGCTCCCCTCCCCCATGCCACACTCCATAGGTGCCACTAGCATCTGCCTCGCCCGCCCTCAGTGCTGTTTTTGCTTGGGCTCTCTCTGAAGAGGGGTGTCAGTCACCGCCCTATCCCTACTGATGCGTGACAGTCCCGCTGGAGGCCTGCCTCCTGGGGATGTCACACCGGTGCCCTGATTGGGAGTTTGCATGGTCCTAAGCCCTCAGTCACACGTGCTCTCACAAATGACCCGTCACATCTCTCAGCTGTGGCAGTTTTGTGTTTTAGTCCCAAAGAACAGCACTGGCAAAAGAGATGTGAGATGTGTCCCAGTTCTTGGGCCGGGTACAATTCTCTGTCACTCCACACTGCTGGCTAAACAGCTGTTAGCAGTACAGTGATGCAGAGAGCAGAGTGCACTGCACCCCTGCAGGGGCCTGTTCTAGGAGGAGCGAACCCTGCTCTGCCTCCAACCCTCCATTGTGTTATAGTTTGTGACCAGCTGCTCCAGGCCCCCACTGCTGGGATTCGCCTACCTCAAGCCTCCCTTCTCCATCCGTTGTGTGGAAGTATCGGACGATCAGGTACCACGCTGGGAAGGGTCGGCCTTGGGTGGGGTTGTCTGCTGTCCCCACTGTGTGGGCCCCTACCCATTCTTTGCCTCAGCAGAGTGGGTGGCTGGGTCTCTTGGAGCCAGGTGAGGAGGGGCCCACAGTTCTAATGGCAGTGGAGTCAGCCAGGCTCTGGGGGAGCGCCGTGAACTCAGGCTGCATTTGGGCCTCAGCCCTCCCTTGGCGGTCCCTTCTTTCCTTCCTCAGGGAAGGGCTCCTGGATGGGGGAGGGGGGAGGCATGCTGGTTTTAGGAGCTGCTGGTCTCTGCAGCGCTTCAGGTGGGAGAGGCAGCATGGGAGAGGGTGAGCACAGGCTCAGGAAGTGGACAGGCCAGGCCTGAATGTGGCCCTCCACCTGCGAGCTGTGCATGTCAGGGCAAGCTGCTTCATTCCTCATCTGTCACGGGAGAGTGGGCCCTTGGGGGTTATCCAGCTCCGTGTGCTTTGGGCCTGACCCACGGTGAGTGCTCAAACAAGTGTCCCACTCCCTGTAAAACCCATGGCCTCGCCGGGCTCAGTGGCTTAGCCTGTAATCCCAGCGCTTTGGGAGGCTGAGGTGAGTGGATTGCCTGAGCCCGCGGGTTCGAGACCCGCCTGGGCAACTTGGCGGGACCTCATCTCTACAATAAATCAAAAAATTAGCCGGTCATGGTAGCACGCGCCTGTAGTTCCAGCTACTCGGAAGGCTGAGGCGGAAGGATTGCCGGAGCCCAGCAGGTCGAGGCTGTGGTGGCTGGGAGTGGCCACTGCACTCCAGTCTGGGCGACAGAGTGATACTCCAGCTCAAAAAAAAAAAAAAACCTATGGCCTCGATATGGCGGCCCTCGTGCTGCTGCCCCCTGAGCTCCTCTCCTTCCTCGTGCAGATCACTGGATGGTCCTCAGTCTCTGTACATGAGGGAAAGGTGACCCAAGTCATAGCCACAGGCCACAGCACTGCAAAGTCAGGGAGGAGGCATTAGGCTGCATTCAGAAACATCTTGTACCCAGACTAGTTTGACAGTCTCCTACTCTTTGGCAGTTGGTTAACCGCTGATTACCTGTTAACCAGAAGGCCCCATTCCCAAGAACTTCCTTATTCCTTAGTGCAGGATTTTCCTGCAGGCCCCGAGTAGCAGGGGTGCCTTCCCTGGACTTAGCCTCTTAAGTCCAGTTGTCCTGAGTTTGGGGCTGGGCCTCAGGCAGCAGTGCCAGGGCAGCGTCCTGCATTCTGCCCAGCACTTAGGGACTGGCCAGGCCACCTGCTTGGGCACCTGTGCAGGCTCCCAGGTCAAAGCATCTCTCAACCCACGGCCGTGGTGTATGCCTGCAGGACACCGGGGACACCCTGGGCAGCGTCCTTCGGGGCTTCTTCACCATCCGCAAACGGGAGCCCGGCGGCCGACTGCCCACCTCCTCCACCTGCTTCAACCTGCTCAAGCTGCCCAACTACAGCAAGAAGAGCGTCCTGCGCGAGAAACTGCGCTACGCCATCAGCATGAACACGGGCTTTGAGCTCTCCTAGCTCCCGCCTCTGCCCTCCAGGGCTCCTGGGCTGCTGGGGACCTTCAGCTCCCAGAGGCAGCGTGCCCTGGGAGTGTGACCAGTATGCCAGGTGGTGTGGGCCCCAGGCCTTCTCTACAGCCATGAGACCCCCCCTATGGCCTCAAGAGCTTCAGACGCACAGGATGACAGTACACAGCATTCTCCAGGGGATGCCTGTGGGAAGGGGGTGTGGAAAATAAACCTCCAGATTCCACCACATGGGTCCTTCTTCCTGGCGATTACAGGGGGGCTTTTTTGATAGTTTGGTCTTTTTTGAGTCTGTCGTGAGTTGTGTATGAACAAATCCTAGAAACGCCAAGAGCCCAGAGTGGTTTTTGTGACATGAATGAATGAGTCAGTGCAAGAAGCCTACCACGCGTGAGACCCTCTCCTTCCGTTTCTGAAAACTCTACTCAGGTAAGGCCTTGCCAAGCGTCTATGCACCCGACAAAGTCTCTGCCTCCAGCTCATCCACGGCGGCCTCTTCCCAGACGGCCAGGCCCACCTCAAAGCCATGCATTCCACACTGCTGCCTACCACCATTCTGAGTCCTCGGCAGGCTGAGCTGCCAGGGAGCCTTCACTAGCCTGTTCCCGTCCTATGTACTCACGATGGCATCTTGGCCCTTAGGGGCAGCCCCATTTCCAGAACACACTGGCTATTGCCCGAGGCCTATAGTCCTAGAGGGGCAGCTGCCTTTTGTCCCTGCTTGTTTGCCAGTTCATTGTCTAATGAGGAAACAGACCCTAATGGGTCCCTCACCCATCCGGGTGGTGGCTTTACTCCAGAGACTGCAGAATCCCAGGAAGCCTGAGTCTTGCTGCCTGTGTACAAGGAACCCCGGGAGCCCCTTCCCTGACGGAGGCTCACAAGGCTGAGGAAACTCACCCTCTGGTTGGTTTTCTTTTTTTTAACCTTCATTTCTCTTCCAACCTGTCGTGCTCCTCAGCCCTCATTCTTCATCTTTGTCATAAAAACTTAACTCTAGAGCCAGGGAACAGGGACAGAGGCCCTGTTTGTTGCCTGTGCTGACAGTCACCTGCCCTCTCACACCTCATCACGTTCCTGCATCCCTACCACCAAGATCCAAGCCAGATTCGAAGCCAGGATAGCTGGTCCCTCCTCTGCTCCGTGGCACCAGCTTAACGTTGTCTTCAAAGCGACCGAACCTTGGCAGCAAAGCCAAGAAGACTTGTCTCCACAGCCCATCAGAACGTTTCAGCCAGATCCTGGGGTCCCACCCTGATTAGAGCCCCTGGGCTTCTGCAGAACAGAATGTGTGCTTTACTCTGATGGAAAGATGGCAAGGGATTTAAAGCAGGAATGAACCAGCCCTGGTGGCCTTGGGAGGCCGAGGCAAGTGGATTGCCTGACCCCACAGGTTCAAGACCAGCCCGGACTTGGCAAGCCCTTGTCTCTACAATAAATAAAAAATTAGCTGGGCATAGTAGCGCGTGCCTGTCGTTCCGACTACTTGGAAGGCTGAGGCGGAAGGATTGCCTGAGCCCAGCAGATTGACACTGGGGTGACTATGAGTGTGCCATTGCCCTCCAACCTGGGTGAGGCTCCAACTCAAAAAATAAAGGTAGGAATGCATTAATAGTATTTAAGATGTGTTAGGACCCTCCAGTTCTGTGGACTCGCCACTGTTCAAACACTCGCTGCCTTTGACTTTCCTTCTGAGCGTGCTGTGTGCACTGAGCAGGTCTGTGCACACACACCAGGGCCTGATACTGTCAGCTGGGCACAGAGGAACCGGGATTGGGGATAGAGTGGTTCATAAGCACCGATATCAACTTTACTTTGTTTGTTTTTTTTGACAAGGAGATGTTTGTAATCTCATTTAAATTCTTATTTTCCACAGTTGGAAATATTACACTATCTAAAACACTGAAGCTATACTTGTATAGCCAGTGTCTACGGACACCCTGATGGTTCTTGATGGCGCTGAACAGTTGTGGGGTTCTTTGTTTTTGTAGATAATTTATGGATGAATAGGTGATTGAGACTTTATTAAATTTGTACTCTAGCACATGGTGTGTTCTGTTTTTTGTCCAGTCATGTGTCTGGGTAGCTCACAGTCGGGCGCTGGGGGCTTCAGGAGCACAGATGGCAAAGATGCCACAGGCCATGTGGCGGACCCCCAAGCCTCACCAGCTAGGACCCGTGGGTGTGACAGTCTGTCCTGTGTGCTTCCAGTTTTGTAACGTGTTTCAGATAAGCACTTCCGTGGTCCCCTCCCTCTCACACACCCCAGAGGCAGCTGTCGCCCTGACTGGAATATGTCTTTACAGTCCATGTTTTACACAGGAACTGTCAGAAGTGATAAATGTTTGTTGAAAGTCCGGGTAATTCAGCCTCTAGGTGTGGAGTAAACTCTTCGGCTATATCTGGGTGTGCTGGGTTCTTTCCCTCACTAGAATGGTGCTTGCTGTCCCCCACAGGACACGCAGCCTTTCTCGCGCTGTTAGGCCAGTCCTGTTCTTCGGCAGAGAACCATGTGCAGGAGACCCATCTCCATCCCACCAGGTGGTCCAGCCCCACCTCTAGTGGCTTTTCCCCTCACCCTCGCCAGCTCTGATATCCTGGCACGTTCTTGCTGCCTCCCCCGGCCTGGGAAGCCCCCAGCAATTGGAACACAAACATGACCTCTCAGAACCCAGGGAAGATGTCTCAGGAGGTTGTGGCCCTTCCTAGCCATCAGAGTCCTCAACACCCCCAAGGAACCCCTGCGCACGGACTTCCTCACAGGAGTGTTCGTAGCACTGAGGGAGGACGGCTATAAACTCCAAGACACACCGGCAGCTTCTGGCATGCTGCATGCCCACCTGAAACACAAAAGCCTTGTTCTGGGGCACGCTGGCTTTCCCTTACAAGTTACCACTGCCACTGCAATAACAAAGCATGTCTTTATAACTGTTGGGAGGTGCAGGAGTGGAAGTTTTAATTATTCTGATGAAAACACAATTTAAATATGCCGACAAACCTGCAAGTGCCTAAGAATATTCAGGTGGAACACAGTTTAAGAAACTCCTCACTATGTTTCTGACCCCGACAAAGCCCTTGGCCTATCTCTGTCCTGTTTATTAAGCAGATGCTGCACTGCTGAAAGTGATGGGCTCCAGACAGGTAGGTCATCTCAAGCCTGGCTAACATGCCAATCCAGGGCTCCCAGATTTCTGTCCTAAGAACTCTAAGAATTAGCCAGAGTGACTGAAGAACTGTGGAAGGTGTACCTTCCCAAGCAGCAGAGCGGGGTTCTGGAGTTGCAGAAATGTGTGTGCAGACCCACCCTCTACCTCCTGCCCCCACGGAGGCCATCTGTGCATCCATCTCCTTGGATGGGAAATGGGAGTCTCTTTCAGGGCTTCAGAGAATTAAACAAAGTTACCTGTAAAATGCACCAAGCTCAGTTCCCGGCATCAAACAAGCACCTAGATGTTGGTGCCCTTCCTACACTTTCTCACCTTTCACTTTACGAAAACGGGACTGAATCCCAGTACTTTGGGATACTGAAGTGGAAGGATTGCTTGAGCTCAGGAGTTCCATCCAAGACCAGCCTGGGCAACATAGCAAGGCCTTGTCTCTACAAAAAGTCAAAAAAATTAGCTGGGTATGGTGGTGTACACCTGTAGTCCCAGCTACTCAGGAGGCTGAGGCAGAAGGATGATTTGAGCCCAGGAGTTTTAGGCTGCCTGGGCAACAGAGGGAGACCCCGACTCATAAAAAACAAAACAGGTCTCCCCAGGATCCTGGAGATGAGGCTCTGATAAAGCTTCCAGAGTAGCTTCTGCTGCTGCCAACCCTCTCATCAGGGCAGGGAGATATGACATGGAGAACGGGCATCTGATCTCTGGTGGAACTTGGGCAGAATTGAGGGAAGTCACGTTCCCTCCTCTCTGCTGCCTGGAGGAATCGTCTGGGTGGAGAGCACATAAGCAGAAGGTACTTCAGCCACAAGGATGTGGCCAGATGTTTCCAGGCTGTGCAGCTCAGGTCACACTGCCCATGGCACACGCATGCTTCGTGTTGGACTGAGGTAAGAGACGGCACTGTGGGCTGGCTGGATGCGCAGCCCCTGGAGTGTGGGACTGGAACAGTGTTTCCTCGCAGGCGTCCTCGCAGTTGCATGTGTCAGATGAGCAGACGGGGTGGACTCAGCCCAAGCTGAGTGTGGGTGAATCTTCGAGGGCACTGAGGAGAGCAAGGGCTGTGGGGCGTCCTGCTGTGGCTTCATGTCCCAGCTCTGCCCCACCATCTGAAAGGCCAGCGACGAGACCCCTTGCTTCTTGGAGCTGTCGTTTCTCCCTCCTGGAGAGCCCTGGCCTGTGCCATCTGGGACCGTTGGTGACACATGCTGTTGCAACTGTCAGTATTTTGTTCCAGGGACTGAGTCAACATCCTCTTTGGAATGATCTTCACTGTTCACACTCCTTGCCAGGAGGCATCCACTGGCATTAGCAGGATATCCTGGGGGCTTCTGCTGGGCTTCATGCTCAGCTCCCAGTTTGCAGGCTCCCTTTGTGCCCAAGCTATGGCTGTCCCCAAGCTGCTGCTACACACTCTGGTGCTGCGTACCCCACCCCCCAGGGACTAGCAGCTGTGTTTCCTTTGTGCTTTTCTTATCCCCTGACAGGCCAGGCGGTTTCTGAGCTGTAGGGAGACTCAGAGGCTTGGGCAGATGGGGTGGGGTCTGTATCAGCTCACAGCCTACTGGAGAGCCACCTGTGACCCCAGAGAGACTAGGGGGATGCTGGAAGTTCCCACCCCACTGCTGGGGGTTTGTGCTCCTTGACTGCACTTGGCTTTGGATCTGCCCTAAATCCACGGCAGGGTCACCCGTCAGGCTACTCTCTCCAGATACCTGTTTCTAAGCCTGGCTCTTGAGTGAAGGAAGACTCTTGTCTGGGTAGTACATGGTTTTTAAAAACCTCAGTACGCTGGAACCCCAGTGTCCTCGGCCTTCAGGCCATGGGCGTGTGAAGGGTAAGCCGTGATGGGATCATCTGCTCACACAGAACCCTCAAGCAGCCCACCTCCTGCTGGGGGATGGGTCCATTGATAAGGACATGGAGGAACAGAAGCTGGCAGGCTGGCTCGGCAGTGCAAGTGGTGAGGAATGAGTGGGTCTCAAAGCCCAGCAGGAGGTGGGACCTGGAAAGCTGGCAGAGGAGGTGGCCCTCACCTCCTCTAGGGCCATGGGGGTCCTCTATCCCC